TTGAGAGAAGTTTCATTATAATGATATTGAAGATTTCGAACAGTAGAAACTCTCTCTTTCAATATATCGAAAATGCTATCTGCGGCTACTGTAGATGTGCAAAAAAGTCTTAGGCTGTACACTCCTAAGCGCATATTTATATGCGTAGGGTGTACAACTTTCTATAAAAGGGCCTAACCTAGGGAATTGGGCCTTACACATAAATGTCATTTTCTCTTAATAGACTATTCTATTTATTACATAAAAATACCATAAATCGTAAAATAAAACAAGACTATTTTAACAACTTGATCACAATAAAAATATCTTCAACACCTTATTTATTTTTCGGCAAGGTTCGATTGTTCTTTATCTTCTCTATGTGATGGTATTATTATTATTATTATTATTATTATTATTATTATTATTATTATTATTATTATTATTATTAAGGTAATTCCACTTCTTTCATTTGTACCTTTATTTCGTGCCTTAGTCAAAACTTTGATATGAAAGATTTGGGGAATTTACATTCTTTCCTTGGGGTGAAGGCCGTTCATACGTCTCACGGGTTGTTTATGTCTCGACAGAAATATGTGTCTGACTTATTATAACTAAGTTTCATCTTCATACTCATAAACCAGTTCACACCCCTCTCCCTACACACACTACTCTTTTTCTAATTGATGGAGATCTTCTTGCATATCTCACTGAGTATCGTAGTATGATAGGTGCTTTACAATATTTGACTATGACTCGATTTGATATTACATTTGCTATTGACATGGTTTCTCAATTTATGAATGCTCCTCATACCTTGTATGACGTGTAGTAAAGAGTACACTATATTGCGATTGATCTTTTTAAGTGCACAAATTCAGGTTTTTAGTGTTAATCGAGTACACCCGTTAAATTAACACGTTAATACGACTGAATTGGCTAACAAAATGTAATAGGTCTACTTCTTGAAGGTTAACGCCAGCCCCCAGCTACTTGATCGACTTCTCCTTAGTCGACGTCAATCCCCCATAGGTCGATTTCTCCTTGGTCGATGCACCCCTGCTGACAGACGCCCCCCGCAGATCGATCTCCGAAGGTCGATATTCCTTTTTGACCGGCTTCGTGAAGGTCGGCGCCATAACCTTTGTCCATTACCCCCTTCTTACTCAGCATTACGTTAGCCATCTCAACTATATTAACGTGTTAATCTTACAAGTGTACTCAATTAACACTAAAACCCCGAATTTGTGTACTTAAAATGATCAAATGCAATACAGTGTACTCTTTATCTAACCTCATGCAAGTTGGTGTACTCAATTAACCCTTTCCTCTTTTGAAAACTTTCAACTTTTCAAGTTTCAATTTGCATGGTAATTATAATATACAGAGTATTATTGAAAACTTTCAAGTTTCAATTTGCATGGTAATTATAATACACGGAGTATTATGTACAACCACATATTGGCTGAAATTGAATAAACCAGTATCTAAATTTTTTTACAAAAAAAAAAGATAGTCAAGAGTAATGAATGTCTTATAATATAATAATACATCTTTTCAAAATTAATGATAATACTCCGTATTTTAGAAAATAACATCAAGATCAAACTGAATCCTTTAGTTTTAGGGAGTGTTTGCAACAGCTTCTGCTTTAAAAAAAGCACTTTTGGAGTGATTTGGAAAAAGTGATTATTTGTAAAAGTTGATAGTGTTTGAGAAAAAAGTGATTTTGAAAAGTAAAAGTTGGTAGTGTTTGGTAAAATAAGTGCTTTTGGTGTATAAAAAGTGGAAAAGCACTTTTGACACGAAAGCCGAGAAAAATAAAAAATTGGTAGTGTTTGGTAAATAAGTGCTTTTTTAAGCCAAAAGCTGAGAAGTGCTTTTTTTAAAGTGGTTGCAAACCAGCCTTTAACTTTTAAGAGGTTAGTACGTACTATTTAGTAAGGGATAAGGCTCAAATTGGACACTATGGTTTCATCAAAATATCATATTAGACACTAAGGTTTCAAATGGACCAAATTAGACACTATAGTTTCATATATATCTCATATTGGACACTAAAGTTTCATAATTCATAGTTTTTGGACACTCACTTATATTGGATAAAGATCAAATTGGACACTCACTTATATTGAATTATGAAACTTTAGTGTCCAATATGAGATACATATGAAACCATAGTGTCTAATTTGGTCTATTTGAAACCTTAGTGTCCAATATGAGATTCTGATGAAACCATAATGTTCAATTTGAGCCTTATCCCATTTAGTAATAAAAAATCATACCCTATTTTAAAAGGGCCAAAAAAGTAAAGAACAAAAATGGCTCGCACGTGCCTTAGTGCCTGTCAAGTGCGATGAGATTATATGAGGATTATTGATTTCTAAGCAACGCTTGGGAAATTTGGGGAAATTTGGAGAGGGCAAAAAATAATCCACTAACCTATGGAGTCTGATCCAAAAGGTGGAATCTCTTACCCCGGAGCCCCCCACGCCCTAACCCGACAAGGCACATGGGAGAATGTAAATCACGGTGACTCAGTCGGCCGAGTGGCCCATATGCCCGTGCGCCAGAGGTCCAGCCCATTTCAGAGGTTGTGGCTTCCACACGGTCGCTGCATGGACTCGAACCATGGTCATTGATCCAAATTCTCACTACTTAACCAACTGAGCTACTCATGCGGGTATAACTTTTTTTCTATATAGATATAAGCCCACATGAGTAACTTGGTTGATTGAGTGGTGAGAAAGTTGAGACCGAAACCCGTAGAAGCCAAGTGGAGGTTACAATTCCTACGTGTTGGACTGGACTTCTGGTGCACACGGATATAAAAGTCTACTACCATTGAGCCGACTGAGGGGGATGTACTGAATATGGATTGTGGTGGACTTTTTTAATCCATAGACTTCTAAAAAATCTATGAACTTTTAAATCCATATACTTTTTATGAATGAGTTCTATTGACTTTTAAAACCATGGATAAATTTATAGACTTTTAAAAAGTCCATAGACTTTTAAATTCAGACTACCATTGCCGGTCGTCGGAATTTCACCTAGATCGCTGCTACCGATTTGCCTGTCCGCCTCCGTCAATGGAGTAAATTATATTAATTAATTATATTATGGGTAGAAATGTACTACGTAATATTTAGTCCTATTTAAGGAAAATCAAACATATGATCATACTTTGGTAAAATGCTACTAAGTATGTTTTAGTCCTACCATGAGTAATTTCCTATGTGTAATATGATAAAAAACAATTAAATGAATAAATAAGGATGTTTTTACTTGGACTGGAATTTGCTTATCTGGTCTGGTCTGATTTGGCCTGGTCTGGTGTGGTAATGTCTGGTCTCTTTGTATTTTATAACTATCCAACTCTGGTATGGTCTAGGTCGAATTACAATCCAAGTAAAAACATTCTAAACATTCAAAGTGAAACAAATGTAATTCATCCAGCAACGCAGAGTTCTACAAGAATAAATGAAGCATAAGAACCCAAATTGTTTTTTGTTAAAAAGAAACTCAAAGTTTTGAGGATGCTCAACAATCTCGATCTATTTATGATCAATTGTTATACTCCGTATCACACAACTCAATGAGTATGAACATTGATAATTACACAAGCATTACACTCATTGCTAGAGGTGGTACAAACATAAGTGCAATCAAACTTTTCTTCTTAATACTCCATAATTGTTTCTTTTCATTTTTATCTTGTTAAATTTTCTATACTTATTTACCTGTTAAATATTTAGTTATTTGAAATTATATTTTTATGTGTGATGGAGTTTAATCCAACTACTAGAGCTATATCTACGAGTACAGATGAAATTTAGGCAGCGTAAGACAATATTCTTATTGCTTAATGATTAACTACCGAAAAGGTACCAAAATTGCACTGAATTAATATTATCGATTCTTATATCGGTTCTTCTAAAACTTCTAAAACCGAATCGATGTGGGATTAACAGTTCAAGAACTAAACCGATCTCACCTCTACATTTTTCTTCGTAAGACGACATATAAAATATCACTTTTTTTTTATTTATTTTTTTAAATCAGAAGAGATAAGTTTATCTTGTGTATCAGTATTAATGTAGAAACTCCTTGCTACACTTTATTTATCGTAAAATGATAGAAAAAAAATAAAATTTAATGTTCAAATCTTGCATACTAAGACAATCCTAGTACCCACCTTCCGTTTCGGTCGGTACTAGTCCAGTACTTGTTGGCCGGTTCGTGATCCCAGCTATATAATTAACTAAATCTGCAATCAGATCTATGCATACTTGTGATGAGTAAAAGACCACTATAATGGTCCACGAGAATCCGTATTTTAGAAGTCAATAAGAATGACCAAAAATTTGAATACGCCTAGACCTTTATAGGCTTTTAAAAGTCTATATTTAATACACCAGATTTTTGTAGATTTTTAAAAGTCCACATTGAATACACCTAAACTTTTAACATTTATGAAATTTTAAAATTTTGCCATTAAGGATGTTTTTACTTGGATTGTAATTTGCTGGTTTGGTTTGATCTGCTCTGGTCTGGTCTCTTTGTATTTTTATAACTATCCAAACCTGGTCTGGTCTGAACTGGTCTGGACTGGTCTGATTTAGGACAAATTACAGTCCAAAGTAAAAACATCCTAATTCCTAATACTAGTATAATACGGAGTAAGTACTACGTAGTACATCCTGAGTCACCACTTATAAGAGCATCTCCAATGTTAAAACGTTAACGGTGCATACGTGGCATGAGAAATAACCAATTAAAAAACAATAAATATAATATATCTCTCCTTCTTTCCACGGTCTTATGTGTTTATGGTAAGTTTTTGTCTGCAAGGTCAATCACAATGTCTACATCTAGACATTGTGCTTGACATTGTGAAGAAAATCTTACCAAAATGATGTAAGATCCTTCAAATAAGGAGAGAGATATTATATTTATTGTTTTTAATTGGTTATTTTCCATGTCACGTATACACAGTTAACGTTTTAACATTGGAGATGCTCTAACCTCCCAAAAATCTTATTGAATGGGGGGCGTGAGGGAGCCTCAACCTTGATTGGGGATTAACCTTTTGGAACATTCTATATAGATATAAATAATACGGAGTAACTCCACTGCAGTTGGCTCTCAACAAAATTCTATATAAGCGTATGCAAAGCTGAGTAAGCAAAACTTCTATCATCTCGTTTCGAGTTATTAAGAGGTAGCAAGTGTATACGTTTCTTGAGTGAGGGGAGAAGAGAAAATGGAGAGTGAAATGAAGGCATCAAGATTCAAGAGGATTTGTGTGTTCTGTGGGAGCAGCCAAGGGAAGAAGAGCAGTTATCAGGATGCTGCCATTGAGATTGGAAAAGAATTGGTATTTCTTTTTTCTCTTTTTTTTTGCTATATATATGTGTGTGTACATATATCCAAATAAAATGAACTTTTTCCTTGGGATGTTGGGAGAGTTTATCTTTTGACAAGAGTTCTTGCAAGAAAGGGGTGTGTCTGCAATGTGTAATGAGAAAAAATGGGGTCTTTGGTATATACAGCACTTTCTTCTCTTCTGGTCTGTATTATTTGAGTTCTTCCTTAGCTTTGTCTTTCTCCTTATGGAATTTCGGAGACATATGAGAGCTGAGTTTCCCATTCTGGTAGTTTATTAACATTGTAGAATCACTTTCACCTTTTCCCATTTTTACCAAACCTTACTTGAGTGCCTCTAATGTGTTTTTGGAGCATAAAGGGGACATTTTTAAACACTAAAGAAAGTTAAGTCTTGTGAAGTGGGTTGGAAAAACACCAACTTTGTAAGGTGCAAGAACTAAAAGGGGCTGCTCAATCTTGAAAGGCAAATTAGGAAAAATCCAAACCATTTTACTTTGAGATTTTCCCATTCCGTTGGTGAATAAAAGTTTTGCGACTGATGTGAATTGGTGCTGAAGGTTTCAAGAAACATTGATTTGGTGTATGGAGGAGGCAGCATAGGGCTGATGGGCCTGGTTTCACAAGCTGTTCATGATGGCGGTCGGCATGTAATGGGGTGAGATTGATGCTTTCCATCTCAATCAATCCTTAACTTCTCTCTCTCTCCTCAATGTCTTAAATTATTGAGAGAAAAGGCATGGAGAAACTTACTTGTTTTAACAGTAAGTCAAGGTAGTCAACCCCAACCCACCCTCTTGTAAGAAACTAATCCGCTGTCATCTTATTGTTTGCCGCAGAGTTATTCCCAAGACGCTCATGCCTCGAGAGGTATGTCTGTTGTGTTTAGGATAAATAAATGTTTTTTCTTTCCGCTATTTTAAACTATTAATAATAATTTTTTTTAATAAGAAAAGGTTAAAAGCCCGTTTTAAACTCAGTAATTTACATTCAGGGGGTTAAGTAATAATAAAGCACCTATCTTGTTGGTGTGGGGTTTCATTTATTTATTTATTTCCTTTTCAAACTCTAGGTCTGAGGGGTTTAGTTCTATTTTTTTTTTATTTATACATAGTACATTTTGGCATCAAGTGGTTTCACCAAATGAATTGATTTTAGGTTCCAATTAAATATTCTGCTTTGTCTGTGTCACCCTTGTTGGTGTGTATATTAATATTATTATAGGGCATTGGTCTTATCCTTGTTGTCTGTTTGTGTGGATTGAAATTATTGGCGTACACATACTGTGGGTAGGCTACTTGCCCCGCAGCTGCTGACTCTTAATGGGTTTCCGATTAAGTCCACCTACAATGCAATGAAATGGATGGGTAAATTTATTTGTTAAACTCTGGTGGGTTGCTTTCACAGTTGACTGGAGAAACAGTAGGGGAAGTGAAGACTGTTGCGGATATGCATCAAAGAAAAGCAGAGATGGCTAGACATTCAGATGCTTTTATTGCCCTTCCAGGTTGGTGCTTGAATCCATTGTTGGGCAAATTATTATTAGCACAAAAAAGAAAGCCCAGGGGATGGACAGAAAATAAATATACAAGTACTAAAAAAGAACACTAGAGGAGTGGAAATTCCCTTCTTGGGTTTTGCACTTGGACACATACTATAAGCAGAAACATGGAAAGCAATTGTGGGCTGGGCTAAATGACCAGAATAACCCTTTGACACAATCCCCAAGGGGTCGGTTCATTATTGTTTATGACACATTAACATCTTGCACAGAAAACCACAGCCTACTTATCCCCCACTGTCTTGAGCAGAAAAGGAAGGAAATGATGAAAACTTCACAACTTTCACAAATTTGGTGTTCCTGCCAACCTGCTCTACCTCGGAAGTATCCTACAATGCTCACTCCTTTCCAAGAAATCAAACCACCACCTTTATTTCTTCTCATAGTGATTAATTACCAAACACGTTCCGCCAAGCATATCTTTCACCTTAACCCCACCCCCAATATTGTGTATCAACTCTGAGAAATCACGATCCACTGAGGACACTGATATTAGCTTCTTCCCGAAAACAAAATCTTATTTACTCCTATCTTATAGAACAAAAAAATACAAAATGTACAAGTGCTACGCCCACTGTTGTGTAAGGATTAAGCAAATAATAATTAAAGGAAGGTGTGAAACAACTTTTCATAACATAAACAACAGCTAGTTCTTTTTATCAAATGAAAAATTGGTACTGTCTTTTTATTGTTTTTTCTCTATGAAAAAAGATACTGTCTTTGCATGGTCTACCAATTTAACTCGTGAGAATTTCTAATTTTAGTATCATATGTACATATATGCTACGTATATAGTACTACCTCCGGTTTTTTTTAATCTTCACAGTTTGACTTCACACAAAATAAGGAAAGAAATTTGACTTTACTGTAGAATACACTGTTGAGGCACTGTTTGACACTGTTTGGCACTGTAGAGACACTGTTTGGCACTGTTGAGACACTGTTTGACACTGTTTTGATGTAGATTTCTTTGTCAAAAAAGGAAATAAGGAAGTGTGAAGTTTATTTTAGACCGTCCCAAAAAGGAAAGTGTGAAGTTTATTAAAAACCGGAGGGGAGTATTACTTAGTGTGTGGAGAAATTTCCCATTATCATTATATATGCCCTTAAGGCTGATAAAATGAAATGAAGGTATGTAGTTTATATGAGCTCATAGAGTCATAGCGACAAATAAACACAGGTGGTTATGGTACACTTGAGGAACTACTTGAAGTGATCACTTGGGCTCAACTTGGCATTCACGACAAGCCAGTATGTTTCTACGCACGCCCACTTTTCATTGAAGTTGAAAAAGAGGCTTAATTGATGAAAGAAAAAGACTAAAAAAGAAGCTTAATTTTGTAGGTGGGGTTGCTGAACGTCGATGGATACTATAATTCGTTGTTGACATTCATTGACAAAGCAGTGGAGGAAGGCTTCATCAGCACAAATGCCCGCCACATCATTGTATCTGCACCTACCGCCAAGGAACTTGTCAGGAAACTGGAGGTAAGCTATACCTGCTACCTTTTAGCTTATCATTTCATTCTCCATTCAGACACCACAACAACAAAAAAGTTCCCAACTACTTTGTTTAGGACCATATATGCTCACTACTAAGTAAGGTACCGTTTAATTGGTAATACACTAGTACGTAATAATGTATCCGTTATGACGGATACATTATTACAGTCCACCAGACTACACCTCAAGTGTGTAGAGATCGGGCATACATGATGCTACTGAAGGTTTTCATAAGATATAAACTTTGAGCTGAGAAGTTTAACTAAATCCAAAGATATTTGTCTATGAAAACAGGAGTATGCTCCTTGCCATGAAGGAGCTGCACTGAAGTTGAGCTGGCCATCATGGCCAGGAGATGATGAGGCAGCTTGGGTACCTTCAGACCCATGAATGATACTCCATCATCGCATTTGCAGCATATATAGGGAAAAGCTTGTCAGGATACAAGGAATTATATTGAGCCAGGAGATGCTAACCTCAAATTATTTGTATTTTTTGCTGTGGAGGGATCCCCCCCTCCCTTTTGTATATCTAGTACTAAAAAATGTTCTAGCATTATATATAGCACCACATAGATATACGGTTCTTATCTACGCACCCCCTCTGTGTGGAAATCCTGCAATTTTTTGCAAGCAATTCAAGCTGTAACTAACTAAGTTCTCAGATGCATATCATATTGAATTCCCCCTTTAGTGTAAACTCAAACTCAGTTGCTCAGTTATTGATTCCAAATTGTATTTATAAGGCTGTCTTAGTCTTCAATTGTTTTTCTGAGTTGTGACAACCAAATCCATAGCTAGCAGTAATAATAATATTACTCGATTGGAACCTCAAAGAAACCCATAATAACGAAGCCTTTGATCATGGGTGTGGGTCAAGGGGTGTGCTATCACGACGTTTTTACTGGGTTTATGGACAATTTGTAAAATGCACTCAAACCGGTTCTTTTATATCTAACTGCTCTTAAAATTTTAATATTAGTAAGGTTACCTTTAACAAGTACATCTTTTCTTTCATTCCATTCACACCCTTTAGACGTTTGAACTCGTTCGTTGAAAATATACTCCCTCAGTATTGGTTCAAATGTAGAGGACGCTCCAACCTCTATCAACTTCATCTTTTCTTTCATTCCATTCATACAAGCATCTTTCACTCGTGCCCATCCCACACCTATATAAATTCTTCTTCAGAATCTCAAAGCAAGTCTTGAGGCTAACTCCCATAGCCCAAACTAGTCTTGGACTCGGGTCGGGCCGCCCGGCCCGGGACCGGTACTGTTTGGGCCCGGCCCGGCCCGGCCCGGTGACCCGCTACAGTCCGGTTCGGGTAGGCCCGGCCTGCTGGTTAGGGAAGGGCGGGCTCGGGTCAGCTGAATATGGAACCGGCCCGGGCCCGGTTCGGGCTTTATTATTATTATTATTATTTTTTTTTCAATTTTTTTAAAAACCCGGGTTGGGCTGGGTATTTTGGTCCATTTGGGGTGGTTTGGGGGGGGTGGGGGTGGGGGGGGGGGGTCGAGGGTTGATTAGAAAAGGAGAAAAAAAAATACAAAGTGGCCGAGGCCCGGCCCAGCCCGATCCGGACCCGGCAGCAACCCAGGCCGATCCCGGGCCTTCCCCCAAACACAAAAGGTCCGATCGGGCCTAGGCCCGGCCCGGGCCCGACCGGCCCGGATCCATGCCTAGCCCAAACGTCTAACACAATTCCTTTGGTGGGTGGTCTATTCTGATGTACAAGGTATATGTTTTGCTTCTACTTATGGCTACATGATTGTATTGTTGTACACGTGTGCTGCACAATAATGTTATTGAATGCCAAGATGTCAACCCCTCTTCTGATTTATGAATGGCTATTTATAGCAAGTCGGTGGTAGTTGAGCTCGATGACACGTCGCCCTCTTATTCGTCGAGTTATACCTTCGCCCGTATCTTGCAAAATGTGCGCATTAAATGCTATCTTCCAGCCAAATCTGAGTTTCCCGCCAATTACTATATCATGAATCGGAAGCACAATCTTGAGGCATGAACTCCAGATAACAGTCGAGAAACGCAAAGGTTGGAATGATGTCGGGCTAAGCTTATATAGCGGAAGGGACTACCTCCGGTCTAGTAGCAGCACGACACGTGCACCTGGGCGGGAAAAGTACATGCATCAGCCAAAAGTGAAAAGATGACATCATTGTCCTCACTTCGAGGCACGCGAACAACTGTCACCACGATCCTGCACCTGCAACCCTAGATGCCGAATCAAAATCAGATCGAGATTCGAGAGCTTACTTCTTTATGCCTCTCGCTCACTCAAGACATCAAAAGTAGGGGCCTGCGTTTGGATATTGGGCCGATTAAGTAGTTGGGCCGACCCACTACTACTAGAAGTCGTAACCATTGTGTCTCCTAGAACACAAGGGAGAAGACCGGACTGACGTCTTAAGGGTTGGGCTGCATCCTATGTTGAACGTGACTCAGAGGTGCGGTCGAGCCTTGAACCTTCAGACGTGCATTTCAAGGCATGGTTGGCACCCCCATGGTTGGACGAGAAGTGCATGCCATATTCCCAAGGGGACTGTGAACAAACATGTCATAAGCACGAACACTCGCCTTCTAACCTAAGGCGAGTGGTCTCCTCCCTTGCATCACAACATCAATGGATCAATTGGTCAGTGCCAGGTTTGGGCGGATTGTGTAATGTATCCTGAACAGTGTAAGTAATGGCACAATACTCTACATCAATGGGGGATTTAAACTTGCTAGCTTGCTTCTTGAACTTCTAAGAGACAAGATTGGGACCCAAGAAGACAACAAAACAAGCAGTGGAGCGAGAAGTGTCGGGACAATTTCCCAATCAGCATCAGAATAAGCCAAAATACATGTGGGTTGAACAGAAGACTGAATCCATAAACCATGATGAAGTGTACCATGTAAATATCTGAGACTGCACTTGACATCAAGCATATGAGTAGTGAGAGGAGCATGCATGAACGGAAAAACCAAATGTACTACATAAGTAATATCTAGCCTAATCAAAGTTAAATACTGTAACACACCTATCATAATGCGATATTAGTGGGATCCCTAAGAAGCTCACCTTCAAAGAGAGAGAGAGCAGTGCGAGTAGCAAGTGGAGTAGAAACATACTTCCTCTGTTCTTAAATAAATGCAACACTTTCCTTTTTCGGCAGTTTCAAATTAATTGCAACATTTCCCTTTTAGGAAGTAAATAATAAGCCAATTTCCTTTTATACCCTTAAATTATTTTACCCATCTTCGGCCCAAATCTGACTAACTTCTTTCTTTTAATTCCTTCTCCACCACCCAATGGTTCCAGTACTCTCCACTCTCATCTTTACAGCCCTGACTCTTTTTTTTTTTTTTTGTATCTCTCCACCAGCATCATCAACCTTCATTAACCCCCTATTCATTTCTTTGTTTCTTTCAATTCCACATCCATCTCCCACCTCTTTTATTTCTCCAATTTCTGGCTAAATGAAGGACGTGGATGGCGATGAAACTGGTTTTGCTCAGCTTATTCCCCCCACGAACTACAACCTTCGATTTGGGGGTTCTGGATGCTCGCACGTTCTTGCGGAAAGAGAGGAGAGCTTTCTCCATCGAACTGTGTTGCTGTCCAATTTTCTGGTGAAGGGGGTGTCGTCCGATTTCGCCGTGAAGGAGGTGTCGTCCGATTTCGCAGTGAACGAGGTGCTGTCCGATTTCACCGTGAAGGAGTTGCCGTCCAATTTCACTGTGAAGGAGAGTTTTTTTTAATTGTTCTTTCCTTTGACTTTCAGTTTCAGAGAAGGACAAGAACACTTCAACGTCAAAGTCGGAATCATCATCAACAAATACACCCTTCGGTGAAAATACTTTAGCACTGTAGCACTTTATGTATCCAGTACTTTTGTTTGTGTCCTGAAGGGTAAAACGGGAAACTCAAACCCTCTGTCCATGTTTCTTATTTTCTGCGCCCAAGGGAGTGTTGCATTTAATACCGAACAGAGGAAGTATTTGACAGTGTGTAAATGAAAATGGGCAAAGAGATGTGTGACATATTCTTATTGGGAAAGAAACATACCTTGAAAATTTTGAATGGATTGAACACCAAGAAAATAGTGTACATCCCCCGGGTCTTTCATAGAAAAATGTCTAACAATAGTCAGAATAAAACAGTGGACTTGATAGGCACTAGTTATTAGTGCTTAAGTGTACATTTTTATTATCATTTGTAATATTTATTTACTAGTATTATGCAAGTTTGTAGTTGTTAGTTTGCATTTGATTGTAATCGTATTTTAGTATTTTATTGTTTGTTGTAAGTTATAGTTAGTTGAGCTATAAGTTTAGGATAGGTTTGGAAGCAAGAAGGATGGAAAAACCTGAGTTTTATGCAAAACCCGGTCGGGTATGGACTTTACCCGGCCGGGTATGAAGTGACAAAGGAAACTGCTGCAAAACTAGCAAATACCCGGTCGGGTATTCCATATACCCGGTCGGGTATGAAGTGATTTCGAACCAAAGAACGTGCAGAAGACACAAAAACATGGGAAAATATTTGATTTGGTAAATACCCGGTCGGGTATGTCAAAATACCCGGCCGGGTATCCGGCATTAGGTGTTGAAAACACCTATAAATAACCCCATTTTCCTTCACTTTTAATAACTCCTTCTTCCATACTCTTAAGCTCAGTTTAGAATAGTATTTCTTTTATATTTTTATAGCATGTTTAGTCTCCAAATGAGGAGCTAAACTTCCATTTCTTGGTGTTGCTCTTGAAGCTTGTTGATTATTAAAGTTGTGAGTTATTTTCTTAACTTCTTCCCTTGAATATTAATTATTCTCTTAATCTATCTATATATTAATGTTGGGGAGTGTTGCTAAGATGACAATTAGTTAACATCTCGACATTAGTTATAGTAGTATTTATTTTCTTCCTCTATATATTAATGTTGGGGAGTGTTACTAAGATGACAATTAGATAACATCTTGACATTAGTTATAGTAGGATTATTCATATTTAATCTTCTTCCTTGAATATTAATTCTTCCCTTGATCTATCTCTATGTTAATGTTGGGGAGTGTTGCTAAGATGACAATTAGTTAACATCTCAACATTAATTACTACTAGAAACGTTCAACGAACCGATGGTTAATCGTTGATGGTTTCACAAGTAAGTAACTTCGGTTTATTAATGCACGGTCGTGGTTAATAAACTTAAGAGGGATTAATTTTGTTGGTTAAACCGAAACCGTTGTGTTGAGGTTATCAATCTCAATTGATTTCATCAAGGAGTTAAGAGATTAAATGCTACTATCAAGTCGGTATATGGCGGTGTTCTATACTTGACTAATAGTAAGGGTTATTAATGAACGGTCGTTGTTAATAACTACCCTCGATGAATTGGATATACTCCTCGATTGAGTATTCGAGAGGGGATAAGTTATAGATATAACAATGATCGACTAAAATATATCAACAAATGGAAAGTAGCAATGCCAAGTCTTTTTTATCTTTGAATTAAATCTCATATAAGTCCTTCATCTTAGTATTTAATTAATTAAATTCCAACAATACCAAAACCCCCCTTTTATTTACTAGTTCATAAAAAGAGAATTATTCCTTTCCCTGTGGATACGAACTCTACTACACTATACTACGTATAAGTGTTAGTATCGATTTATTTTGAGTGCACTCACGACAAAGTGCTCGTCAAATTTGGCGCCGTTGCCGGGGAAAGGCAATTATTTTTCTTTTTATTTTATCTCATAAAAATCAAAAACAAAAAAAAATTATTATAAAAAAAAAAAATCTTACTCTTCTATTTTCTGAGCTTACATGAGTTATGAGAATATGGATACCAATATAACATCCTTAGAGAGTCAAATTTCCACTTTGACTTCTCTAATAAAGGAATTTATATTAAATTCAAAAGCTCAAGATGTCGAGACATGCAACATTTGCATGTCTCACAGGCATCTTACGGATTTTTGCCCGAAGCTCCAAGAAGAATACTTCGAACGAATCGATGATGATGTTGGTTTCCAAGGGAAGGAACCTCACATGAGGTATGATCCGTTCTCCAACTCTAACATGTCTACGGAGGATATGGTCCGGGCTATTGCTACCAACATGACCACCATGCAAAACAACATGGTACAATTCCAAAATGAGACCAAGTCTAGCATTTTAAACTTGGAAACTCAAATGAGTCAAATAGCCGGAGCCGTGAGTAGGCTTGAAGCAAGGGATTCGGAAAAACTTCCTTCTCAAATAGAATGTGATCCTAAACAGCAAACTTTTGCAATCACATTGACAAATGAAAAGGAGATGCAAAAGGAGATCCAGAATCCAGAAGAAGTAGAAGAAGAAAAAGACACGGAGCTCCAACTGGTCAAAGAAGAGGATAAGCTGAGCTTCAAATTCAAATTTTTGTCATTGTCATCCTTTGAGGTATCTCCATCATCTCTGGAAGCTTTAAGAGAATCTCGTAAACTTGAAATGGAAAATGACATTTCTGAAATCTCCTTCAAAATTGAGGGATCGAAAAACTTTTCATTGACCATACTACATGATAATTTCTTCCCCTTCCTCCCACCACATAAATCAATGAAAATCTGGATATTTGATCCTGGAAAGATTTCCAAAGTGGAGAGTCGAGAAATTGAGCACTCCTATGGAGGTCCTAGGAGTGAAAATTTGAAGAAAATTAATTATCACGATCCAAGTTTGAATGACTGAACACAATGATAACGTCGAGCCACGACGTTAAATAAAGCGCTTCTTGGGAGGCAACCCAAGCAAGGTATGTTTTCTATATCATTTTTTTGATTTAAAGAAGGGTGTGTGAGTAAAAAAAAAAAAAAATGTTTTTTTTCATGCCTGGGCAAAAACCCGGCCGGGTAAACTATAAAACCCGACCGGGTAAACGGGCAAAACTGCCTCTGCTTAAGCAGAAACGAAAAACCCATTCGGGTAAAACCAATACCCGGCCGGGTATTCGTGCAAAACTTCATCTGCCTCAGCGAAAACGAAAAAACCCATTCGGGTAAAACGAAAACCCGGCCGGGTATACGGGCATTTTAACCCCAAATCAGCCCCAAACCTTCATCTTCTTCCCCCAAATCTCTATTGTTGAGCTCCAAAGTTTCTAAACCCCACCATTTCTACACCAAATCCATCAAAACCCCATTTTCTTCATCTCCTCATCACCATCTTCACTCCCACACCCACAAAAAAAAAACTGCCCCAAATAACCAAATATCCAAACCCCCTCACTCCAAAAACAACAAAAGCCGAAACTTCCTCACCCCCAAAAAAGAAAATGACACCAAAAAGGGCAAAAAGATTCATTCTCTTGGACATCTCGGACACAAGCACTAGGGACAGTGCTTTGATTAGCTTGGGGGGAGAATTTCGTGGAAAACTCTCATACATACTCTATATTCTTGAGTTATTTAAAAAAAAAAAAAAAAAAAAAAACTCAAAAAAAAAAAAAAAAACAAAGCTTGTTAAGTTGAAAACCTGAAAAGGCAACTTAAGCAAAAATAAAGCAAAAATAAGAGTGAGTTGTGAGGATTGAAACAGAAAATGTGGGAAGCTAGGATGAAAACCCGAAAGGGCACCTAGGCAAAATGAGAGAATGAGAGAAAGTATCTCTTTTATTTTTGCAGGATCCTAAGGGTGGATATGAGAGAAAAAAATGAAGTTGAAGACCTCTCATTATTCTTGTGTTTTGATCATTAAAACATTTTTATGTTGACTTTCAAAAACACTTGTGAATGGTTGTGATTGCTACTATTGTTGGTTTGGAAACATCATGGACATGATTTGTTTTACTCGAGACGAGTAAAAGTTCAAGTGCGGGGGTGTTTGATAGGCACTAGTTATTAGTGCTTAAGTGTACATTTTTATTATCATTTGTAATATTTATTTACTAGTATTATGCAAGTTTGTAGTTGTTAGTTTGCATTTGATTGTAATCGTATTTTAGTATTTTATTGTTTGTTGTAAGTTATAGTTAGTTGAGCTATAAGTTTAGGATAGGTTTGGAAGCAAGAAGGATGGAAAAACCTGAGTTTTATGCAAAACCCGGTCGGGTATGGACTTTACCCGGCCGGGTATGAAGTGACAAAGGAAACTGCTGCAAAACTAGCAAATACCCGGTCGGGTATTCCATATACCCGGTCGGGTATGAAGTGATTTCGAACCAAAGAACGTGCAGAAGACACAAAAACATGGGAAAATATTTGATTTGGTAAATACCCGGTCGGGTATGTCAAAATACCCGGCCGGGTATCCGGCATTAGGTGTTGAAAACACCTATAAATAACCCCATTTTCCTTCACTTTTAATAACTCCTTCTTCCATACTCTTAAGCTCAGTTTAGAATAGTATTTCTTTTATATTTTTATAGCATGTTTAGTCTCCAAATGAGGAGCTAAACTTCCATTTCTTGGTGTTGCTCTTGAAGCTTGTTGATTATTAAAGTTGTGAGTTATTTTCTTAACTTCTTCCCTTGAATATTAATTATTCTCTTAATCTATCTATATATTAATGTTGGGGAGTGTTGCTAAGATGACAATTAGTTAACATCTCGACATTAGTTATAGTAGTATTTATTTTCTTCCTCTATATATTAATGTTGGGGAGTGTTACTAAGATGACAATTAGATAACATCTTGACATTAGTTATAGTAGGATTATTCATATTTAATCTTCTTCCTTGAATATTAATTCTTCCCTTGATCTATCTCTATGTTAATGTTGGGGAGTGTTGCTAAGATGACAATTAGTTAACATCTCAACATTAATTACTACTAGAAACGTTCAACGAACCGATGGTTAATCGTTGATGGTTTCACAAGTAAGTAACTTCGGTTTATTAATGCACGGTCGTGGTTAATAAACTTAAGAGGGATTAATTTTGTTGGTTAAACCGAAACCGTTGTGTTGAGGTTATCAATCTCAATTGATTTCATCAAGGAGTTAAGAGATTAAATGCTACTATCAAGTCGGTATATGGCGGTGTTCTATACTTGACTAATAGTAAGGGTTATTAATGAACGGTCGTTGTTAATAACTACCCTCGATGAATTGGATATACTCCTCGATTGAGTATTCGAGAGGGGATAAGTTATAGATATAACAATGATCGACTAAAATATATCAACAAATGGAAAGTAGCAATGCCAAGTCTTTTTTATCTTTGAATTAAATCTCATATAAGTCCTTCATCTTAGTATTTAATTAATTAAA